GTTCTGTTCAAGTATTTGTAACATCTTCTCCATGTTGTGGTCAGCCTCAATCACCAGAACAGGGGCTGTCACAGGGAAGAGGCTGCCTGTGACCAGTCACTCCTCATAGAGTTGGTGAATGGCCTCAAGGTACTCCAGCAGAATGACCTTCTCCTCTTCCCTACACCTCATCTTTAATCGCTGGTGACAGGTCTCAGGAGTGGTCCGGAGATAAACTATCAGGTCAACAGAGACATTTATATTCTTCATAATCCAGTCAAACCATTCAGAGAGAATCACATAGTCCACTTCAGGCATCTTCCCACTTTTATAAAGGTTTTCTACAAAAACATATCTTGCACTATGAATCGACCTCTCCATCAGCTGTACTGGTGACACCAGAGGATTGTGGTCACGGACGTTTCTCCACTTGGGCACAGGTTCCATTAACACCTCAACATCTGCTGTATTGGAGAAGAACTCCAGGCATGTCGTCTTCCCACTCGCAATATTGCCCTTGACACAGATCACTGATTTTTTCTCTTTTTCATTTTCTCTATTTTTATCCAGAGGTCAGGCGCTGGGCTGCGGTCCCGCGCCCGGAGCGGGGCTGGCGGAGCTCCCGGGACTCCCCGGCCCCGCGCGGCACAGCATGCGGGAGGCCCAGCGCCACAGCAAGCCCAGCAGCATGGCGCATTTCCTTCCCCCGCGAGTCCGGCCCCCTCTTCAGTTCTCTTTGCCCACGTTGGAAAAAGACGTGGTAAAGCACAAAGCACACCACTCACCCTCTTACTTCAGTAAAAGCAAAATTAAATGATAAATATCTCTGATGAGATTCCCACTGTCTTACTCAAGAAGAAGAAAACTACAGACCTATAAGAAAGCAAGGAGGAAGGGACTCCTGAGATAGAAAAAAACAGTTTGCCCCTCTCTGCTCTTCTCCTACTGCTCTTTCCACCTCCTGGCCCTCCTGCTTAAAGTCTAACAGGCTCTGACATGCTTGGCATAAAGATAAGTGTTTGAGAGTTTGTAAAAAGGGTAAGACCACAGAAGTCTTGCTAGATGCTGCCTGATTCAGCTGAATGGCTGAACCTTGTCTAGCAGACAAGGTTAAGAAATCAGTGACCTTTGTCCTACTGCTATTTCCTCTTCACCCACTCAGACCGTGTAGCTCTGAGGTTTTGTACCTGTAGGCACACTGGCTTCTAAGAAGATCCTGGCTCCCTCAATTAACCTTGGTGTGATTTGAGCCATTGCCTACATTCTGTCTTCTGCTCTTTTAGAATATTTTGCTGAGTTTACACACCTATAATATTCAAATAACAGAACTTAACAAAAAAAGGGATACAGATGAATGTCCATTTTGTATCTGTGTGTTCAGAGTGGTTAGGGTAGATATATAGTTACATTCTCTTAATAAATAGAATGCTTTGTTCTAATGGTGTTTGTAAATAGGATATCATGTCCTCATCTTGTACAGCAATTAACCACTAGAAAGAATGCATGCAATGTGTTAATTATTAAAACTATCCTACCAATTTGACTTGAAACTGTCTCATTGCTATTTGTCTCTCAATGAAATTATGGGGAAAAAACAGATGATAAATAGTAATAAACTATAGATGCATTGTAGAATTGTAAATGGAATAAAAACACAAGGGAAATTAGCATAAATGCATCAAAGAAGCTCAAGCATTATTAGTAATGCCAGTCTTTACATTAATCATACTTACCTTAGTATTCAAATCAGAAAGTGTTTATTAAGAGTGGGTCTTCCACACCTAAGGATATTACATCTAAGAATTCAACAGACCACAGAGTGAAAACACTCAGGAACAAAACTTTATCTATACTGTCCATATGCAGATACTTCTCTTGTCTTTATTCTCTAAACAACTACTTACATAGCAATATGTGTATAATTTATGATCTGTGAATTTTGATCCCTTTGAGCATCTTGGAACAAATTTCTCATACACACAGAGGAACAGCTGCCCTTTCACCAGAGCAGAAGCTCCTTGACACTAATGTAAACACCAGTGCTGTGTCTTTATGCTAAATTTTCATCTCTAATTGTGAAACAAAAACTATTCACGCTAGTTTCATTTATCAATGAATTCTTAATGAGTGCATGCAACATGCTGAGTACCAAGCAACATTATCAGTGGTTGAGTATGTTCAGGCTGTGGTTGATAATGAAGGAAGGAAGCAGTGACCTTCCAGCAGCTGTCCTTCTGGACATATTGCAAAGCCATTGGGGACAAAGGCTGGTGCGCCCCTCACCCCTGTGCCTTCTACATGACCTGCTCTACTCCAGCCCAGGGCTGCCTGCTTGCAGAACTTCTGCCTTTAGATTTCTTCTGTTTTTGCTTGGTTTCCACCAAGAATTTCTGACCAAAAAAAGTGGTCATTGGAACACATCCTTTCTGTATTACTACAGTCATGAACTATAAAAGATAATCCAAAAGAGAACATACAAGGCTAGGGATTTAGTTCAGTGACACACTGCCTTCCTGGAAAGTGTGAGGTCCTGAATTCAATTCCTGGTACCCAAAAGAATAAATAAACAAGCAAAAAACAAAATCTAAAAGAGGGCATACAAAAGTATCTTCAACCTTTACTCCAATTAAAGATACATTCTTGTCTTACTTGTATAAAAAGGTCATCTCCTGAACTTTGAGTACCTGGTGAAGAAGGAATACTCTGCACATAGCTGGCTTTGATCATAGAACGCAGCACGAATAGGTGGAGCAGCTCTGGGAGGAGTCTGGCTATGTCTCTGCAATCATCTCCATGGGACAGGGACCTGTTGTTTCTAGCTACTTAGCCGTCTCCTTCACGCTGATGATTTGGGGGCCTCTTCCAGAAGTGTGCCTTCTGTGGGGCCCCACCTCCCAGTCTAAGAAATGGAGCAAGCATTATAGATCTGGGTGTGAGGACATTCAGTACATAGAGCTGTGTGGACAAGTGAGGGAAAGCACCTGTCACAGCCAGTCTTATCAAAATGAACTCTGGGACTAACCAGTTGGCTCTAGGAGAAACCAGTCTCTTCTTTTACATTTTAGATTAATTGGGAAAACTTGACCCTGGATCCCAAGGAGAGGGGCACAATATGGTACTTGGGAATAAGATAGATATAGCAAAAGAGCCCTGAGCCACAAAAAAGATAGCCTTGATCATTTACCAGAGCTCTGAAATCAAACCAGGCTTGAAATTCCTCTGAACAGTTTCAACTCTGCCAACAGATACTTGTAAATTCCTTTTTAAGGCTGTGTTTTTATTTACAGTCAAGAGAGCCCTGTGTTACCCATTGACTTTGTCACAGTTTCCGAAGTTTCACATTATTATACTATTTCCTTGCATTAATGGAGAAAAAGGATTACAAATGTTGTACTGGCCATCAGCACAGAAGTTGTTCACAGTTTGGCAACAATAATTGTCATTTACCTGGTAATTCCCACAATTAGACCAAAGGCACCATAAACATAGAAGCTCAAATTACACTAAACTGCACCACAGAGTTCACTGTGATGTTTCAGAATGTATACAGGTATCTTAGGAAACTCTGCTAGAGCTCCACATAGTATCACCTCAGATACTAGGAGGTTTGTTTTTTTTAATACACAGGTCCTGCTTTCAGCTCTGAGTGGATAGGATGTGGCAACAGAAGAAAGAGAAAAAATATTTCTCTTTCTGGCAAGCCTTTTGCTTCCAGGGACTTGCAGAGACACTCTAAAAGCAGAATTCAGGGTTTTCTTCCAGACTCAGTTATCTTTGTGATTGTCTATGGGCCACTTTTCAGAGTCTTCATCCAAACTTGGAAAATCAAGTGGAGCTTTATGAGCCTGAGACAGAAATTCTTTAATTCACTATATCAGTGGGCCTACTGAGGGTCAACCATTCTAGATCCCACGCTGAGTCCCCAGGCACTGGAGTTTCAAAGGTGATAGACACAGTTCCTTCAAGCAAGAAGCTCAGGGTCCAGTGACTCAAGCAGTCACCATTCCATCAGGACAATGTGGACTCACTGATGCTGCTACAGAGATGGACATGCAGGAAAAACCAGGAATGGCAGGGCAGGTGTGAAACAAAGGGCAAGGGAATCCGGATGAAGGGACCTCACAAGCAGATGCAGGTTGGTGTTTCCAGGACAGGGCTACCATAGCTTCAAGAAAGGAATAATGGCATTCAAGGCACCTGTGCTCTGCGTTCATTTGCCTGAACTTGGTGGTCACAAGAACAGAAAGGGGCACAAAGAGACAAACATCATGAAAGACTGCTCATGTGGCCCCAAGGGCAGCATTCAACAGGGATCTCTTCAGGGACTCCCCATTCACTGCAGCATAAAGTCTAGAACTGTGCCCTCCTTGAGCCAAAACCAGAAAGATATTAGTTTGCTTTTTCACATCCTTGCAGCAAAGAGAACAAAAGGTAAGTGCAGAATCTGAGTGCAGCATCTTTGTTGAGATCAGCTCCGGCCAGTCCTTCAACCCACTTCCTCATAAGCCTGCATCAGGAGAGGGTAGAGCCACATGGATCCCCATGACAAATCCCAGGTCCCCCCAATAGCCAGATGGAGAAGGGAATCATTTTTCATTTGCATGAAGTCATTCCAAAAGCGCCTGCTTTTCATTAGGAAAGTAACACGATCTGCCGCCGGGCAGTGCCTGAGGCAGAGGAGAGAGAGGCCTTTTTCTGGACACAGCCTCTCCTCATTTCAGAGCATGGCCTCCCTTTTGTCTTTGTTCAGAGAACCATCTTGCAAGTCCTACACTCCATAATTTTCTTCATTGTCACTTTAGAGTTTTTGTTTATTTATTTTCATATGCACCTTTTCATATAATGAGCCACATACACACAGGCCACTGTAGTTTGCATGGCCCAGAGCAGGTTCCATTCGTATGCTTCATGTGAAGTCTCCAAGAGGGCTGCAAAGACACTGATTTGGCCCTTCCCAGAACATCCCCAGTAGGAATTGCACATGACATGGGAAAGGCACTGTGTACTGGGAGGGTAGCACCACAACAAGCCTCCACAGCCCAAGGAGCTTCGGTGCTCCCAGAGCCTCCAAGTCACCTCAGCTTCTGCAGACTCCTGAAGCAAACTTTCCATGCTTCTCATCTCTGCCTTAGATTTCTGCTTTCCAAGGCTCAGGGAAGCCATGAGAGTAGGAGATCTGGGCAGGCTGGGAGCACTCCAGGCCTCCTGGGCATCATTATCCCTTCTCTGGTGCTCCTGCTTTGGCTATCACTAATGCAGTGTGCTTGTTTAACTCATTAGGTGTGCTTGGACTCATTAGGTGTTTTTCTCTGAAGAACAGCTCATTATAGAGGATTGACAAGGCTACTAAGAGAAGTGCCTTGCAGAAAGAGCAGGGGGCCAAGAAGAGGGAAGAACTCTGGTGAAGAAGTGCTATGTGTGACTTTGGGCAAGTCACTATTCCCATCCATGCCTCAGTTTCCCCATTGATATACTTATGTATTTAATGAGAGGATCCCTTGGCTACCTCCACTGGTGAGATACTATGATGTTACTCTATTGAATATGGGGAGATCCAGCCCAGCCCAGGCCCA